AGGATCACGACCTGAGCCTGAGCTTAAGCAACTGAGCCACCTAGGTGCCCTGGCTGGATTAGCTTTGCTAGTATTTTGTTGAAGATTTTTGCATGTATATTCATAAGGAATTTTTGCATATATATTTATAAGGGATATTTTTGTGCTGTTATTGTCTGGCTTTGGTATCAGGATAATACTGGCATCATAGAATGAGTTAAGAAATATTTCCTTCTCTTTCATTTTTTTGAGAAGTCTTTGAGAAGGATTGATGTTATTTTTTCTTTAAGTAATTGATAGAATTCACCTGTCAAATCATGTGGTTCTAGGCTTTTCTTTGCTGGGAGTTTTATGATTACTGATTTCAGCTTCTTTAATTGTGTTATGACTTTATTAAATTAACATTTATTAGCCACAGCACCACAGAGTGCTGGTTGGTGAACCATGGTTCGGCAATAGACCATGAGAGATATTGAAATAGAAAATTTTTTTACTTACAAGTCCTAGAGGAATTACAGGGCATGCATTAAGGAACCATATAGGGAGGTCAAGGCAGAGTGTAGAGAGAGGCAGGATCTGGAGTACAGTGCCTTTGTTATTTAGGGTTTGTGGGTGGAACACTTTGGAGTTACTGGGCTAGGGCTGGATTTGGCAGTTCAAACCAAAAGAGCAGGGTTTTGGTAAACTCCACCAAGAATTTTTTTCTTTTTCTTTTTCTTTTTCTTTTTCTTTTTCTTTTTCTTTTTCTTTTTCTTTCTTTTTCTCTTTCTTTCTTTCTTTCTTTCTTTCTTTCTCTCTTTCTTTCTTTCTTTTCTTTCAGATTTTATTTATTCATGAGACACACACACACAGACACACACACACAGAGGCAGAGACACAGGCAAAAGGAGGAGCAGGCTCCATGCAGGGAGCCTGACGTGGGACTCGATCCAGGTCTCTAGGGTCACACCCTGGGCCGAAGACAGGCACTAAACCACTGAGCCACCCAGGCTGCCCCCCAAGAATTTTTTCTAAGGGGCATTTAGGACATAAGGTGCAGGGAAGCAAGAGAGACCGTTGATCCCAAAGTCCTATCATCAGTTCTTGTAAGCAGACTTACATTGCTTGTGTCTCTGTGGCCTGCTATTTAGGACATGTGCTTCCTTGAGAGGTCTCGTCAGTTTAAGTAAGGTCTTTGCAGGCCCCTTGGCCAAAGTAGATGGTGAGGGAGCAATACCAGGGAATAGTTTAGCTAATCAATGACTTTACTTATGTCAACGACTTGCTGTAGGTCTGATCAGATTTTCTGTTTTTTTCTTGAGTCATTTTGGGGAGCTTTTGTGTTTCCAGGAATTTCCATTTTATCTAGGTTATCTGATTTATTGGCATACAATTGTTTATAACATTCTTCTATAACACTTTTTATTTCTATAATAAGATTGGTAATAATGTTCCCATTTACATTCCTGATTTTTAGTGATTTGAGTCTTCTTTCTGTTTTTTTTTCTTAGTCTAGGTTTGAGGTTTGTCAGTTTTGTTGATCTTTTCAAAGACCTGACTTTTGGTTTGTTGATTTTCTCTATTGTTTTTGCATTCTCTATTTCCTGGATCTCAGCTCGAATATTAATGATTTCTTTCCTTATTTTGGGCTTGGTTTGTTCTTTTAGTTCTTTAAGGTGGAAGGAAGATTAGGTTATTGATTTGAACTCTTTATTACTTATTAAAAAAGTAATGTAGATGTTTACCACTGTAAATTTCCCTTAGCCTGTTTTCATTATATCACATATGTTTTGGTATGTTACACTTTCATTTTTGTTCATCTCAAAGTATTTAATAATTTTCCTTGTAATTTGTTCTTTGGCCCACTGCTTAACAGTGTGTTGTTTACTCTGCAGCTCTTGGATTTTCCAAATTTCCTTCTGTTATTGATTTCTAGGTTCATTCCATTACAGTCAGATAAAATACTTTGTATGATTTCAACTTTTAATAATTTATTGATACTTGTTTTGTGGCTGAACATATGGTCCAGCTTGGAGAATGTCCCATGTACACTTGAGAAGAATATATTTTTTATGGTTGTGTTAGGTGGAACATTCTGTATGCCTGTTAGATCTAATTGATATATAGTATTATTCATGTCTTCTGTTTCCTTGTTTATCTTTTGTATGGTTGTGCTTTCCATTGTTAGGTGGGGTATTGATATCTCCAGTTTTAGTTTTGTCAGTTTTTGATTCATATATTTCATTATGTTGTTAGGTGCAATTATGTTTATAACCATTTATGTCTTCTTGACCTTTTTTTTCATTGTACAATGTCCTTCTTTGTCTCTTGTAATTTTTTAAGATTTTATTTATTTATTTATTTATTTATTTATTTATTTATTTATTTATGAGAGAGAGAGAGAGAGAGAGAGAGAGAGAGAGAGAGAGAGAGAGGCAGGCGGAGACAGGCAGAGGGAGAAGCAGGCTCCATGCAGGGAGCCCAATGTAGGACCCGATCCCAGGTCTCCAGGATCAGGCCCTGGGCTGAAGGTGGCGCTAAACCGCTGAGCCACCCGGGCTTCTCTGTTTTTTGTTTTAAAGTAATTTGTCAGATATTAGTATAGCCACTCCAGCTCTCTTTTGGTTACTACTTACATGGAATATCTTTCTGTCCTTTCATTTTCAACCTATTTATGTTTTTGTTTCTAAAGCACAACTCTTGTAGACAGCATATCATGAATTACTAAAAGGAAATCCAGGGGCACCTGGGTGGCTCAGTTAGTTAAGTGTTTGCCTTTGGCTCAGGTCATGATCCTGGGTCTTGTAGCTGCATCAGGCTCCCTGCTCAGTGTAGAGTCTGCTTCTCCCTCTGCCCCTCTCCCTGCTTGTGCTCTCTCTTCTGTCTCTCTCAAATAAATAAAATCTTAAAAAAAAAAACAACCCAAAATCAATAAGCCAATCTCTGCCTTTTAATTGGAGTGTTTAATTTATTTACACTTAATTACAAAGACAGGACTTCTGCTACTTTTGTTTATTTCTTATATCTTTTTTGTTTCTGTATTCTTCTGTTACTACCTTCTTTTATGCTGTATGTCTTCTCATGTAACATTTTGATTTCTTTGTCATTTCCCATGTATACATTACAATGTATCTTTTAGTTATTTTCTTAGTGGTTGCCCTCAGGATTACAATCAGCATCTTAATTTATAATCATATAGTTCAAATTAATACCAACTTAATTTTAATATTATACAAAAACTTTTCTTCTGTATAGCACTATATCGCCACCTTTATGTTATTGTCACAATTTACATCTTTATAATATGTGCCCATCAAGATAGATATACAATTGTATCATGTATTTTTCTAATTGATTGATTTTACATGCTAAACCGATATTGTATTCTTAGAATAAATTCAGTCAGTAATGATGTGTTACTCTTTTATCTTTATAATGTATTACTGCTTCAGTTTGCTAAAATTTCATTAAGGATTTCTATATGTGTATTTAAGAGGGATATTGGGGATCCCTGGGTGGCTCGGTGGTTTAGTGCCTGCCTTTGGCCCGGGGCGCGATCCTGGAGTCCCGGGATCGAGTCCCACGTCGGGCTCCCGGCTTGGAGCCTGCTTCTCCCTCCTCCTGTGTCTCTGCCTATCTCTCTCTCTTTCTATGTCTATCATAAATAAATAAATAAATCTTAAAAAAAAAGAGGTATATTTGGTGTGTGTGTGTGTGTGTGTGTGTGCATGCGTGTGATGTCTTTGTCAGGTTTTAGTATCAGTAATGTTGATCTTATGAGTTGGAAATTGTTCTCTTTTCCTCTATTTTTTTTTTGTGTTAAATGGATGTTATTTCTAAAATGTTTGATGGAATTCATCAGTGAAACTATCTGGACCTAGACTTTTTTGTGGGAAGCTTTTCAATTATTTATTCACTTGAAAAATATACGGTTATTCAAATGTTACTTCATTTCAATTTTGGCATGTTGTTTTTTTTTTTTCAAGGAGGGAGTCTGATTCATTTAGATTGTCAAATATGTAGGCATAAAGTTGTTCACATTCCCTTAATAACCTTCTAATGTCTGTGGCAATGGAATTTTTAAAAAAGGCTTGTATTAGCATTGTAGCAAACATTTATATAGTGCTTTTTTAAGCATACTTCTCACTTTACAAATATTGACACTTAATTCCCACAGCAGTTGGTGATGTAGATAATGTTATCATCTCTATGTTCTAGATGAAAAAAACAAAGTTAAGAGAGTTAAGGTGCCTTGCTCAAGATTACAGAGCTGGTATATTAAGAGCTTAAATTGTAATCCAGGTGTCTGGGTCCTGAGTCCTTTTTTCTTGACTACTGCTTGCTTTGCATTTTGTAAATAACAGATACCTGTTATGTTCTTCTTGTGGAATTTTGTTGTATTCTCTCTGGTGCTCCCACCACATTTATTCCACTGAGTGGAAATATTTGCTTCTGGTATTACTAATTAGAACCTGAAATGCCTTTCCCCATAAAAACGTATAGGATAGCCACACATGCTTGAAATATTATTGGTTTTTTTTTTAAAGGTTTATTTATTTGAGACACAGAGCATGCAAATGGGGGGGGGAGAGCAGAGGGAGAGAGAATCTCAAGCAGATACCCCACCAAGTGAAGAGCATGATGTGATGCTCAGTCTCATTACCCTGAGATCCATGACCTAAGCCAAAATCAAGACTTGGGTGCTTAACTGACTGAGCTACCCAGGTGTCCCTTGAAATATGATTGTTAATATTCTTCAGTTATGTAATATGTTAAAAAGACTTTTGGGGCTTCCCTGGGAATTTCACCACAATTTATAATGTGAAACATGGTTTCTCTAGGTAAATATTAGAAGATATTTTAAATTCACTTACTTAAATTGTTAAACTTCAGTTATATGGAAATTGTACTTTTTGGAATCCTTAATTATTTGAATTTACTGAGGGGTTTCTAAATCATAATTTTTAGACGACAAACAATAAGATTAATTTTTACACATATTTTGTTTTACTTTCATTAATTTGTTGATTAATGTCTTTCAGGGATATCCAAATGCTCAGAAGAATATTCTTCTTCAGGTGGATCAGAACTGTGTTCGCAATTCTTATGATGTTTTCTCTTTGCTGCGGTAAGAAACTTCTTAGACCTCCTGCATTTTCTAAAGAATCTTCCTCATTTTGAGTTTGTGACATTTTTGTGTGAGGAAATGTATGGGAGCTTTAGAAGCTGTTATTCAGGCTTAGCATTTTTTAGTGAGAGCTTCATAAATTTTGTAGCTACAGTGATTTAAGTTTATCTCTTTCACAAAGCCTTTGGAACGCCATTTCCTTTCTCTGGACAGTGGGAGAGAATGATTGGAAGCCAGTGATCTTTTAACAGGGATGTGAGCTGTTTCTGGTTTTCTGTACTATAAAGAGCAGCAACCCGAGGTACAAAATTTAGACTTATCAAAATCTTAATGACTACAGCATTACTAGAAAAGCCCTCCAATAGCCCCAGACATGGCTTAAGAATTTTGACCTGCTGTTCATCTTAAAAGAATCATGTTGGCAAGGCAAAGGAGCTTTGCATGAATCTCATGCTCAGAGGCTTAACTAACTGCCTTAACTCTATATTTTCATAATGTCTGGGTTTAATTTTGAAAAATTTCTAAATATGTTTTTAATTTTCAATGTGGTAGATCATCAGGGACATTTTCCCAGGAGGCAGGCAACCAAAATAAATGCAATTCGAAATAAAGGTAACAGTGACACTCAGCCTATGTTCACCCTACTCAGACAGATGGTTCATTGAGATTTGATTTTGGCAGTATTTTTCTAATGTTTACATAACACATCATAAATTTCAGACCATTAGACATCCTCAATATATCTACTAGAGGAAGAGTCCGGGAGGATGGTTGGACTCTTGTCCAATTGGATGATTGTTTACTTTATAAACATTATGAAATGGGCCTTTTCTTTACAAATCTTAAATCTTATTATACATGGTGATAAAGTTTGGTCACATGGTCTGTGTAAATTGCTCTTAGGAGACAATGATTTCAATTAAAGTAACCACAGACATTTGATGACTTTTGATTATTATCTGAGAGGTGCTCTCACTTTGACTTCTTAGGATATGTAAGAGAATAGACAGAACTTAGTAATTGGATGGTGGAGATAGAAAGCAGGAGGTATCAAAATATATAACTCATATTTTTGAGTCTCTTCAGTGTGGGATTATATTGAGTTTTAAGTATTGCAGAGAGGAATGTACAGAAATAGTTTGAAATGTGAGTAAGCTATTAATGTTTCTTGACCTGTTTTGCTCATGAAATGGAGGTATAGCTATTAATGTTTTAAAGATACTGTCCAAGTGTGAGATGATGTGATCTTATTAGAGAAATCAGTGGAATCAAAAGTAAAATATGAAGTCAGTGAAAAGAGGATTTGGGAAAGATAGCATCATAGAATTTAAGGGAATAGAGATTTAAGCTGTGTTGAATGCTCTGTGACGAGACAGGAAAATAACAACTGCAGAAATGGTGTAGGATCTTGGGAAGCAACCTGGTACAATAGAGAATGCTTTGGTTAAATTGACCGTGACTTCAATTATCCCTGGTTTATCCAAATTTATTTAACTTTTCTGATTCTTCTAAAAGGTAGAGACAGTAAATATAAGTTTGTGTAATTTACAAACATTTCCACGTTTATTATCTTTTGCTCCTAGAAATTTTTTTGTGTTCAAACATCAGGGATCAGTCTTTCTCTTCAGTGTAGAAGCTGAGGCCAAGGGGTAGTGTTACATGATTTATCTGAGAGCACACAGCAAGTAAGAGCCAGACCGGAGGTTGGTATGAAGGTTTTCATGCAAACAAGTTTTGTCGATCCTTTTCGGAGTCTTATTTACCTTCTTAGATTGGTGGTTATAAGGTGATTATAAGGTACACATAGCGTAATGACAAAATTTTCTGAAAATCATAGAGCCCTCCATAAATTCAAAATCATCAGGTAAATTTGGGAATTGCTCAATTATTTAACATTGATTCTTACAATGATATGTCTCTTGGAAATCTCATTTCTAGGTTGCTTTCCAGATTCCTCAGTTGTGTCAGCAGTTTGATTTGCCTTATTAACAGTAGCCTTGTCGTTAGCCTTGAGTAAATCATTTATAGCTGGTAACATAGATGTACTCTTGAATCAGATCAAGTGTCTATTTATCAATTAAATTACCTGAAACCAGAGAGTTACTCTGCTATTAGAAACTTTATATTGTATTCATCAACATTAATGAGTACACGGAACTTTCTCTGAGAATTCTCTTAAGCTTTAGTAAGGAGTAACCACCATCTATTTGCTAAGTCAAAAGCTCTTCTCACAGTTCTTGGCATGATTTATGCTTGCTGGGAGACTTAATTTTGTGATCAATTTGTTCAGTTTCCCTTCTTTAACTCAGGCAACAATGTACTCTGATGGAGTATATTTGAAAAATATACATTTTCTTTCCTTGATGCCTTTTTTGATGTATCAAATTGTTACTTCTTGATCTGTAATTTTATGTGAAAAAGTAGAATCTGAATTCTTTAATATCACTTAACTTCACAAATTCTCAGTGCCATTTGGAATCAGGATTAGAACCTATGTCTCTTGATTTTGTTTTTTGAGAGTATATTCTAGTTAATAACTAGAATAACTAGAATACACTATGTTGTGCCACTAGGATGCATATTTCCTTCCACTTTTTACAATGTGAATGTTATAGAAAAAATAGGAAATTTTGACTAAGGCAGGGATTTTGCAGCACCTATGACCAGAGCATTAGAGACCCTTCAGGTGGATGTGTTGTACCATTTTTAAGAAAACAGTGACCTGAGATTTTATTCAGATTTTTCTGCCAGTAGTTAAGAATGTAGACTGATTTCAATGTTAGCAAAATAATATCTCTTTCCAAATTTATATTCAGTGTGTGTGATGGTAATTATATTTTTCCTTCTTCAACCCTTGGAAATTCCTGGATTAAGGGTTAGTTTTCATGTAAGCAGACATTTAATTAGGAGCCAATTTACTCGTTACATTTGATGCCTTAAATTAGGATGTTCACCACAAGGTGTCAATGTTGTTCTTTAACTGGCATTTGAAATTTCATTTATTTTATGGTTTTGAGGCGAGAAAAGTTGGATTATAAATTACAAGGGAGCATTTATTTTTAGAAATTAACTTTTTTTTCTCTATTATTTCTTCAAAGTTAAGGAGTTTCTAGGCTTATTAGATAACTTTCTCCTTTTGGTTCTGTTGATTTAAAAAAAAATCCTATTGGTGATACAGAATTATTGAAAGATTAAAAAGAGAAAGAGTGACATGGTTGGGTGCACAATTTACATTTCTGACTGTGGGGATGGCGTGGAATCAGTGGAATGGGGCTAGAGGTAGGAGACATCTATAATCCTATTTGTTCTTTGAAATTAAAAGATTGCTTTTGATTTTTAAAGGTCATTTTCCCCTCTTTCATACTTCCTCAAAAAGGTGGCTCTACTCTAGTGACATGAGAATAATTCTGGTTTTCTTGTAGTACAATTTTAATTGCTCCTTTCCCCTTCTTGACATGTCCTACTTTTGCCAGTTGAAGGGAGTATGGTGGAGAGTCATGGGCCCTCCACCTAGGTTCCAGTCCTAATGCCATCACATACCCGTAACTGGATGCAAGACTTTGGGCAAATTACTTTGATATGCCTCAAACTACTTTTGTAAGATGGCAATACTATTTATTTCTTAGGGATATTATGAGAATTAAATAAGGTAAAGTACTTCAAAGATCCTAGGACAGCTACTGGCATATAGTAGACTTTAAGTACCTAATAGTTTTCATTTTCCCTTCTCCTCCCCCCAGCTTGGAATGAGTTTTCTCCTCTATGCCAGTGTTCCTTTTTTATGTTAGCATTAGCTTCTTCAATTTTGGACTTAATTTCTCTTTTCTTGCCATTCTAATGTCTACCACCTCTGCTTTTAGAGTTATTTTTATTAATCCTGGACAATTATAATAAAATTGTTTAGTGTGTGTATGTCTTTTCTCCTTAATGGCATTGAAGACCTTTTGAAGGAAGGGATTCTTTCATATGACTGTATTTTTTCCAGACTATCTTCCTGACAATTGATGGTTATGTTGGCATTCCTATGAATGCTGTTGTGATCCTAGAGCCCTCAGTCCTGTGGATTAGGTCCTGCAAGTCTTCTGCTTTATTCTTTCTGCTTGAGAACTCCTTTCATTACCACAGCTTCACTCAGCACATCCACATGCTAGTAACTCTCAAATCGATACCTCTGGTTCCTTCCTTTCTTTTGTATTTCTGATCTGTATTTTTCAGTGACCATTAGACATTTATACTTTCATGTTCTGTAGGAATCTCAGCCCCAACATGTCCAGAGCTACACTCACTGATGTTATTCTCCTCTTCCTTTTCTTTTCCTTATATGTCTCATGTCTATATATCATCATCTCAGGCACCCAAGTGAACATAACCTTCTTTGTTCTCATCTCTATTATCTGGGACTATTTCTTGACCTCTTAATTAGTCTCCCTACTACTGGTTTTTCCTTCACGTAATTGATAGCTATTATTTATTAAGCAATTAATTACTTTGTGCTAGGAATTTTTCTTAGTGCTTTACCCCAATTTGTTTTCACAGTCACCCTCTGTGGTGAGAACTTTGAGGAAATTGAGGCACAAAGTAGTTAAGTAGCTTATCCAAGGTCACACAAGTAGTTCCTCTTAGCCTGTATTCAAGTCCAGAAAGTCTAGCTCCTAAGCCTTTATTCTTTTTTCTTTTTAAGACTTTATTTATTTGAGAGAGATCATAAGCAGGAGGGAGTAGTAGAGGGCAAAGCAGACTCCCCGCTGAGCAGGGAGCCCTATGCAGGGCTCAATCCCAGGACCCTGGGATTTTGATTATGACCTGAACCAAAAGCAGACACTTAACTGACTGAGCCATTCAGGTGCCCCTAAGTCTTTATTCTTAACCAGTATATTTTACTGTTTTCTAATCTCTTATATTGCTTTGGTACACTTTATCTGCCGCACTGCTGCCAGAATAACCTTTAAAAATATATATCAGTTTTGTCACTCATTGGGCCTAGAAATCTTTGAGCCATC